GCCATGGACAATACAGAGTTCAACCATTCTAACTAATTACCTTCAGGCATTTTTTTTTTTTACAAAGCCTGGTAACCTCATTGAGTTTTTCAGGTAACAGACTGCTTCCAAACAGAACAAGTTTACCCATTCTCTGCCCCAAGTTTCTGTAAATTATTTTCATTTCCTTGTTATTGATTAAAATCAATGACATAACCCAAAAACAATTTCGGTGAACCACTTTCCTTTCCAGGCAGGATGGTAACACCTGTGTAAATTTTGGCACATTTTATTGTCAAGTCTGTAGACTAACTAGACAAACCTGCTGTTCAGAGGGAAAGCTATATTTACCTTAGAGTTGAAAGTTTGCTTCTGTGTGTCCCCCTTCCTGGTTACCATGATGAATACCGTCAAAAAGTACCGTCCTCATACGTGTCTAATGTAAAAGAGTTAACCTGCAAAGAGTTAACCTGTACCGCAGATGTAGGAGTCCAACAGGTGTTGTTTTTACTGTATCTATAGGAGCAGGATTAATGGCGCACTACTCGTTTCGCCTCTTGAAAGTGACTCGCTCTTTCCGCTCTCTCCAATGCTGACACATACCACAGCCTTCTCATGCTCCTCCCCCTCCACAGGTAACAGTGCTCTCATTATCTCTCTCTGTATTTCTCTGCCCTTCTTCTCAATCTCCCAGTCTTAGCTCGGTTTGTAAAACTGGCAATGTACACTTGGTATTACTTTATTATATAGCCTATTTTTTTCTCTTGCCTTTCATTGTATTTATGTGACATAATTGTGGGCATTGTGTTCCTGTAAAAATCAAATGGTTTGGCTTCCTCTATAAACTGAATAACTTCCTCCTTATAACTTACCAGATGATACCTGTCTGTAAAAAACTGTAAATGTTGTAACAATAGGATGTTGTGGGCAGTTACCGGGCCATTGCTACGAGGTATATAAGTTGTTTAGAGTGTTTTTTGTGCATTGCTATGCAGTTGCTAAAATGTAAATGTTTCTGGGGTGTTTTGGATTGTATCTTAAGCTGAATATTTTCCCACCTTTTCATTTTAAAACTGGGGATCATTAATCTGCAAGCTGCAACAAATATCAGTAAAACAACAAAACATTGATGTTCACATTTAAAAAAAAAAAACACACACATTGTTTCCCACGCAAAGACTGCTGCCATCATTTTAAGATGTAGTGTGCTACTTTCAGTGTCTTGCTATGTGGTTTCTAAGGTCTTCTAAGTGTTTTTTTAACATGTTGCTGTAAGGTTGATAAGGTGTGTTGGGTGGTTGCTAGGCAATTGCTTACCAGCCCAAGTCAAAAAAGCCCAACCCCATAGTATTTTTTTAATAATCTGAAATGGATCAGGGACACCTAAATGTGAAACTCATTTGTGCTGCTATATATTTTTGTGGAAACCATTTTGGCCAATTTAATGCATACTTACTAAATAAAAGTATTATTTAAAAAAAAAAAAATCTACAGACCCCAAACTTTTTTTGAACTGATGCAGAAAAAGTTAAAACCCCAAATCTATAATCCTAAGCATGAGTGAAAAGACGATGTTTTAAACACTTGTTGCGCTACATGACCATTAAAGGTAGCCTGGTTAAAACCAGACCATTCTCAGTTGTAACTGAGTTATGGTCTGGCAAAGCGTCATAGACAAATCATTTCCAGAGGGGCGTCACCAACGGACGTCGCGGATAGACCTAACCAATAAGAGCGATGAAGGAGATGGCGTATGCAGAGCGGCAGAAAAATCTCCGAGTGTTGTTCTTTGCTCGGTTTTTAACTAAAAGGAAACGTTCAAATCGCTTAAAACAGACGCGATAGCTGATTCGAACGAGTGCTGTTCAACGGCGGCATCCATCTTTGTAAGTTAGGCTACAAAATCTGCTTCAAAATCCCAGCGCTGTCGTCATCGTGTAAAGCCCGCCCCAACATTTCTGATTGGTGCCTCGATTTCGGCGGATTGGAAATGAGCTTGAATGAGCTCTTTGCCAGACTAACTTTCAGAGCAAATCTAAATTTGCCGGAAGTTGTCCGGGTTTTCCCAGGCTACATTAAAGGGTTAGTTCACCCAAAAATGAAAATACTCACCCTCATGACGTTCCAAACCCATAAGACTTTTGTTCATCTTCAGAACACAAATGAAGATATTTTTAATGAAATCTGCAAGCTTTCTGTCCCTCCATTGACAGCCTATGCAACTACCACTTTCAAGCCTCAGAAAGGTGGTAGAGACATCATTAAAGTAACCCATGTGACTCCAGTGGTTTAACCCCAATTTTATAGAGCGACTGGAGTGCTTAAAATTTCCCCATACCGGCTAGGAAAAAAACCAGCAAGCTCAAACCTGGCTGTCAGAAATGTGAGGTAAAGTCACGACAAAAGAGCATCCAGCGGGACAGGACCACCGTGACTGACAACTAAATCCATTATTATTACGTGTGTAGGCCCTATATGTTCTATAAATTATGTTATTAATGCTTTGGCAATGTAAAGATTCCTTTCACCATAGCAATAAAGCAAATTGATTCTGAATCTGAGTTTTGTTTGTGCTCACACGAGAGCGCCACGACAGATGCGTGTTGTGTTGACGCGAGAGCGTTGCGTGAACGTGCATCGGAGATTAAAACTTTGTAAATAAAGTTTTTTTTAATTTTTTTTATTAACTTCATTTGTGTTCCGAAGATGAACGAAGTTCTTACTTGTTTGGAACGACATGAGGGTGAGTAATGAGCATTTTTATTTTTGGGTGAACTATCCCTTTAAACTGCCACATTAACACATAAAAAGCGGCTACCCTCAACATAATCCAAAACTCCCTAGACAAAGCAGGTAAAAGCACTGAACAGCATCTAGTTCACATACTCAGTTAAACATCAATACAATGATATCCTGTATGGGCTCTTGGAACAATATTTGTACATATAACAACATTTCTTACAGAAATCCTCTAAATACAAATGATTACTGCTACACAACTTTCCAGTGCTTTTCATATTTTAAAGAAATGACGGCAACTTGTTGCATCTCTAGAGGTGATATTCAAGTTGTCCTGCAGAAATACATTTGCCTTTATTTCATGATTTCACTATCAACATGGCCACCTTGATGAGTCTGTGTTTGCTCTTAATTTACATGACAGAGCGGGGAAGAGGCTCACATCACTCATGAGGCTACAGCCACCATTATCTACAATGGAACATCTTGCACTTGTTAGACATGGATAGCACGAATAAAGTCTGAAAGTGATGAACGCCGGACTGAAACAAATGGAGTCTAATTGCTCAAAGCACAATGTTATTTAAGAATCCAAAAGCCAAAAGAATTGTGGCAACTCAGTCACCATTATTCAAGTAAACTATTTTATATTCTTTAACGGCATACTTTGTTTGCTGATCAATGACAAGCAAAGAAAATAACCCACTTGATGCAATATGTAAAATAATTATAAAATGTCATGCATTATCTTTCAGGACCCCTCATCATGTGTGGTCTGTCTGCAGCTTTCATCATTACAAGAAATATACTTCTATGGTTAAACAGCACATTACATGGTACACCTCATCTATTGACTTACCTCTTATAAACTCTTGAGTTGCACAGGAGAGGAGAGAGTGAAACAACAAGCAGAAGGTAAAAAAGGATCTGTGTGACTTTGTCAAGGCCTCACCAGACAAGTGAAGTGGGACTGCGGCTCTTGGTTGCCTTGACGACGGATGCTTTTTCAAGCAAATCAGCCAATGAAATGCGCGCTGGTCGTCATACAAAAGGCCATGTGACTACCTGGCTGCCTCTCAGCAGGAGGAGACAAGAAACACGAGGACAAATGACGTGAATGACAGCACTATTCTATTTCTTTATACTCTTTTAAGTCTGTTTTTATGATGACTGCGGCCCCATAACTAAAGTAGATGTCTGAAATATATTTGAGGTTAAATTGGGATTGGAAGTGTTTGCCTTAAGGCTACGGAGACGAAAGATTGCCACCTAGTGGACAATTGTGAAAATTACATCAGTGGTGGACCTCTAGTTTGAAAATTATTTAATTTAAAAGTGATTTTGAAATATTAAAACACTTAGTAATTAAACCCTGAGAAATGTTTATAGTAATTAAGTATGAAATGAAAATAAATCACCACCCATACCTGAGAAAGACAGTAACGACACATACTGTATATTTGGCCCGCTTATCATTTTTGTTTTTGTTTTTATAGAGAATCATTAACTATTTCTCAAAGGACTCAGTAATGTTTGGGATCTATTCACTGTAGATGTCTCTCAGACTGACAAAACACGTCTCGATAAAACAAGTTTAAAAAGCATTAGAGATGAAAAAAGGAAAGATGTCAGTTTTTAAATAATAATTAAAAAAAAACATTACAAAACAATAAATTTGCTATATTGGCATTGTTCTGTAATAATAATAAAAAAAACTTTAGTTTTTTTTTTTTAGGTTGAGACACTAAGTGTTTATAATTAGAAATTTCCTTCTCAGTGATTTTTAAAACTATTTTTAAGAAAGAAACGAATCTTTGTTCTGTAATAGCCTAATAATAATAAAAAATAAAGAATCAAAGAAAGAAAAATAGAATCAGCGTACAATCATTTTTGTCATCAAGAGTTTGTCATCTGAAATTTCCCTCTAATTGTCAGTGATTTTATGAGAATTGAACGCTATATGGGGATTGATCTGCAATGAAAACAAATAGTTAAAAAATCAAAGAAAGAAAGAAACGATGTTATTTTTGTGTTTGCAACATAAGACAGCCCACCTGTAATGTAAGAAGGGTTGAGAGAGTGTGTTTGTTGTGTGTATTGAAACACACAGCCTGGGTTTGGGCGTGTGCTGTGGCTCACCCTCTTCTTCTTCTTCTTCTTCCCCCTACACACATACCACTCTCTCTCTCACACACACACACACACACACTGCTCGCCTATCAGTCGGCAGCTCGTTGTTTGATGTTTGTGTTGCTCGCATCTGCTTCAGAGAATCTGTAGAAGAACAAGAATAACACTAGCTGTCTAATGACGACAAATAGTTGAGAGCAACGGAGCATTGAGCGGAGCAGCGGGAAGGATGTCGACATATTATTGACTTGCTGAGTGTGGTCGAGACGAGCGAACAGCGCCGTGGATTTTGTAAGTACTAGTCCAGCTGCTGTCTTTCTATGCTGTGTGTCGTGAAGGAATAACAGCAGCAACAAAATGTTCCTGTAGACGCTGGACGGAATTATACTTTTTTTTTTTTTGCATCAAGGCGTAAATCATTTCACCAGCATCTCGAAACTGAAGAACTACTACTGTAGTGAACATGGAAAACGAAACAAATGCGTCAAATCAGTGCGCGCGCCTGAATTCCATTCATCTCTAGTTCGTTACATTGTAGCGAGCTGTGCAACTATATTCATATAGGCTACATACAGCGGTGTTGCGTAGCTATTATGGACATAATGGTCGATGCAGGAGAAATAAGTTTATTTACACCAACAGAGCAAGAAACGTTTTATAAAGACTAGTTTGTGTAGCCTACTCGAGTCTTTACGTTTTTGAAACTTATTATGTCATCACATAGATTGGTTGCCATTGTATTATAGGGCTAGCAGAGATTCACTCACTAAAATGACTACGTTGTTTACATTGCGCATCGTCTGAAAAGTCAATAAAGGTGATGTCATTGCATTTCAGCGGTAATGGGAAAAATAAAAGGGATTTATTACACGTATACATAGCCTGCCTACACACACACACACATCCCACACTATATATATATATATTAGTGTGGGACTGTGTGTGTTTTTAAATGGTGACATCCTTCCTGGTACAGTGTGATCACTATTTTCATGGGCAAAAAACGATTTTGACTCGGTAATTAAAAGTTGTTTAGCCTGACATGTGATCCAGAGCCTAAAAGCAATATAAAAGTTGTAAATTCCCAGCAGGGAAAAATAAACTGAATTTCACAGGTAAGGCGACATGACAGGTGGATGAGCTAAAAATAGATTTTCAAATGGAATACTTGATGCAGTGTCCAGTGTCCACCAGTGACAAAGCTGAACCTGATGGCTTGACTGTTGTTTTTTAACAGTGCACAGAAATTCAGATGAACCATAATTTGTTTTTGGTCTCATTAGCAAATAATAGAATAGTTGTATAATAAGATTTATTTGACTCATATTTGGTTAATTTATTAACTGCTCCATATGTAAGGATAAATTTTTTTTTTAGAAAAATTGTTTAGGAAATACTTTCGGATAAATATTCAGAAAAAAAATCCAAGCACATCTTAGATGATCAGCTGTTATATATAGGTTATTTGACGTGTAACTTCTCCTGAGGATCCATAATTTATTAAGTAGATTGTCAGAATTTCAAATCTAGTTTGAAAGGGATGAAATTATAGGTTATGAGTGAAATAGATTCTACTGGAACTGAATCAAACATTTGAACTAATAACACGAATAGACCACTAAGGGAAAGTCCTGTTGAGTTTCCTCTGCAGCCCAAAATAGATTATAGAAATCTTTTTGTCCAGTGTTACATCACTAAGGGTAATTTTATCTGTCTTAAATATTGTCAGCAAGACAAGTGCTTCCAGGAAGCACTGGTATCCTCTTCATAGATGTTGACTGGAATCCCCCCTTTACTTTTTTATTGAACGAACTCCCTGTCAGTTCTGTTTCCTTGTAAGCTTATTTTAATGTGTTCAACAGACTGTTTCAAGTGTATACGTCCTATAATGATTCATTTAAAAAAAATCTCACATTTCCTTGTTCCTTCTTGGTTTCTTTCAGTTTCTGACTCCGCAGCAGTGAGAATGACAGAATATAAGCTGGTGGTGGTAGGTGCAGGTGGTGTGGGCAAGAGTGCTCTGACCATCCAGCTCATTCAGAACCACTTTGTTGATGAATACGACCCAACCATTGAGGTAAGCCTAAAGTCAAAATGGTAGTTTCTGTCAATACCTTTGTCTCATATGTTATAGTTTATTATATGTTCAGTCATGAAATTCAGATGGCACAGGCTGATAGGTCCTTTACATGCAATCTGCAAGCAGTTACACCAATACCACATGGCACAAGATGTTTGTTATCTGCTGATCCTGCAGCCAGTGAGATTGCTTGCCTAACATTTAGATAGTTTGGTTCATTGTTTGCTCTAAGCTGGCCCTGCAGCGTGCTATCAGTGTTCCTCTGAAACCCTCTACCTCCCCCAGATCCACCTGTCTTGATCTGCTATTAGATTTATGTACAGTATGTCTGTTCATGCAGAAGCATATCTTACATGCGCATGACAGCGTGTCTGTGTATCTATTGGCAGCTCTGCAGCAGCATAGTAGATCTAGTCCGCCAAGACCAAATACATCAACATTGCCATAATCAATAACATGCCAAAACTTCTTAGAGAGTTCTCATGATTGCAAAAAAAAACAGACCTCAGTGCAGAATATAGTTCCCTAATTTCAAATAAAATAATTTATGAATAGAAAACATCAAAATTTACTCTGAGGGTAAAACATTCGCCCCACTTTGGTAAAATAGTCCACAGTTTCCACTTTCTCTTTATCAGTAACAGAATATATTTCACTGTATATTGCAGTGTCAATTGAGCAGTAAGAGAATTCACAATTAGAGCTGTCATGATTCCTCGATTAAATTCCAGTACTCGATTTTAAAAATCCTCGATTTCAATTTAATATATTTTATATGGTTTAATATACAGAATATATATATATATATCATAATGAGTGTGCTTTAATTATTTAGATGCATGTAGGTTATGTGCATCACAGAGCGGATCCATTCACAGTAAATGCTGCTCCACATGAACTGTTATCATAGCGCATCTCACACACCATCTCTGCATATGCTGTGAGTTTGGGTTGCTTATAACGTTCATCTGGGAACGCAATGTGCGCCATTTCATCAGACTTGTAAGGTAAATCATTTACAAACCTACGCCAACACAGGAGAATACATCAATATGTTTCTAAATATGCAAACTGTTCATCGCGTGAAGTTTGCATGTTTTAATGTCCACATATTCTTGTTCAGGAAATGACAGTGTTGTAGCATTTCTATTGTAAAGAAGTGGCCAAATATGTAAGATTAAGTAAACATTTCAATTCAATGCAGTTTGGCCAATTTTAAATGAGGATTTGATCATACTGTAAAGTGTAACAACAACAATCACCAAGCGTTGGCGCCCTCTGCAGGCATTTGTTATAATAAATAACGGACATAAGATGATTGTTTACTATATTATGTATATCATGCATTTTGAAAGTGTTACTCTATAAAACCATGATACTTTATTTGAATCAAATAATATTGCCTCTTACATTGGATATTTATGATCTGTTCTTCCTCAAAGGACTCATACAGGAAACAGGTGGTGATTGATGGAGAGACGTGTCTGTTAGATATCCTGGATACTGCAGGTCAGGAAGAGTACAGTGCAATGAGAGACCAGTACATGAGGACCGGAGAGGGCTTTCTCTGCGTCTTTGCCATCAACAATACCAAGTCTTTTGAGGACATTCATCAGTACAGGTTAAATGATAGGAAACACATAAGAATACATCTTTTTGTTTCTTATAATAAATATCATTATAAATGTGGATTGTTTGCACTGCTTTTTAAAGGGAACAGATTAAGAGGGTTAAAGACTCAGATGATGTGCCTATGGTGCTTGTGGGTAATAAATGTGACCTACCAGCACGCACTGTGGACACAAGACAAGCCCAGGAACTCGCCCGTAGCTACGGTATACCCTACATTGAAACCTCAGCCAAGACCAGACAGGTAAGAAACATTTCAGTTGTATTCTGTTGTATAACCAATCATTTTGACAATAAAGTATCAAGCTGTCCACATTTCATTGCATGGCTGAATGCATATGTGTATGTGTGTTTCTGATTAGGGAGTGGAAGATGCCTTTTACACACTCGTCCGTGAAATCAGGCAGCATAAGTTGAGGAAACTGAACCCGCCAGATGACAACGGCCAAGACTGTATGAACTGCCGCTGTGTAGTGTCATGATCTGGTAAATTCCTTTATTCTGTTAGCGGGTGTCCCTATTATGCTTTCTTAGATGTCACTTTTCATGTTGTGTGTAATATAGCTGTTTGTGAATGTAAAATGTCTGCAAAGTTTCAAAGATCATTTCAGTGCACGATAAATGGAGTTATGTCTCCTAAAAGAAAGAACCGATTCTGAAGTCTTACTTCCTCCATAAACTTATGTAGGTTTGTAACAAATTTGCATCTTCATTGCCTGCCCGCGAACCACATCCACTTTGACCCGCCCTCAAACACTGTATTTGTAGCTGAGGCCTGGAAGAGTTTGGTTCTTGTTGTCGATATGTCGAGATGCTATTTTCTGCTCTGCGAAAGCAAACCCACTTTGCATGCACTCCCAATGAATGAATCCATGGGCTCGAATTGATACGGTAAAACCGACACCCTTGATACTGTTCGTATCACTGTGTATACAAGTGGAGGAGATGAAATTCAGAAATGGTAATGGGCATTTAGTTTCCAACACACGCTGTAAGCAGTAGACCAATCAGAACAGACTGGGCCATCTGACCTGACAGCAGAGTAGGCTCCCAGAAAGGAGGGGTTTAGAGATCATTTATCAAACCGTTTCAGACACTGAGAAAAGAGGTGATGCTTCAATGCATATATGAGAAAATTAAGGTTAGCTCTCCCAAAAATTCTGTCATTAAAAATTACTCACCCTCATGTCGTTTCAAACCCGTAAGACTTTCGTTCATCTTTAGAACACAAATGAAGATATTTGTAATAAAATCTGAGCGATTTTTGTCCCTCCATTGAGAGCTACGCAACTACCAATTTGAAGCTTCAAAAAGTTCATAAGGAGATCTTATTGAATCTATGTGAATTGAGCGGGTTAATCCAAATTTTCTCGATCGCTTTATATGATGAACAGATTGAATTTAGGCTTTTATTCACTTATAAACATTCATCACTTCACACATCAGTTGTGGTAAACAGAAGCTCAAGCATGTTCGCTTGACGTGCGATAATCAATGTTACGCATGTTCAGTTGAGCTTCTGTTTATACTCGCTGATCATTGTTTATATGTGAATAAAAGCCTAAATTCAATCTGTTCATCATAATCCATCGAGTCTCTTCAAAAAATGTTGACTAAACCGCTCAATTCATATGGATTCGTTTTACGATCTCTTTATGAACTTTTTGAAGCATCGAAGTGGTAATTGCGTAGCTGTCTCTCAGATTTCATTAAAAAGTATCTTAATTTGTGTTCCGAAGATCTTAAAGTCTAAAGGCTGATTTATACTTTTGCGTCGGACCTGCGCCGGAGCCTCTACGCTATAGACTACACGTTGGTTTTCATTTATACTTCTGCGTCGTTGTCCGCGTTGACGCGCAATTACACATGCAGAGGGAGCATGTAAAAGCCGGGGAGCGGGTCTAGCAGACCAATCACAGCGCTTGCGGTGCGCGTAGAATTGACGCGTTGTTACATTTTTGGAGAGGTGCACGTCAGGGTACGCCGAAGGGTACGCGCGCTACACACAGAACAAGCTACGGCGTGAGTTCGACGCAGAAGTATAAATTGGGCTTAACGGGTTTGGAACGACATGAGGGTGAGTAATTAATGACAGAATTTAATTTTTTTTGGGTGAACTAACCCTTTAAAGTGTTTTGTTGTTGTTGTTGTTGTTTTACCTGCGTGTAAACCAATTGTAGCTGACCTCCAAAACAAAATTAGGAACCATTACAATATACTAAATGAGGCACTTATATGATCCAACCATGGCTATATGACACAAATCTCTCAATAACATAAATATACAAATATTCATGAATAATTAAACGTTTGTGTAGTGCTCCTCATGTGTACTCAGTTCTCTCCTTCTCTTTGCAGTGAAAGTGCATGGCGTGGCTTTGGAAGCAGTGCAGCCCTACAGACCACAAACACTGCAACACCTACACAGATGCTGGACGTTTAGAGCAGACTGTGTAAAAGGGAAATCTTTATTCTGGCAGCCCTGCAGTCTTCTTAGGGATGTTCCCATCGCTCTCCTCTACTGGAGAGGAAAGAAGTTGTACCTCATTTTAATGGTCTCAACACTGGAGTTGCTATACGACTGGATGAGCGCTGTCACACTTAAATATATTTACATTAAACAAACTATTTACTCTTAACTGGAAGTAATAGCTCAGAAAATAACCTCTCATATTGCTTTGTCAGATGTGTATGTTAGAAAAACACTTTACGAGACGGAGAGGAGAATTACTACATCAGTTAGATTAGCATATGTCTGGATGTGAGGAAGATTTGTATTGTCATTTGCTTAGAAGAAGTCTATCCTAATAAAATGTACTTAATTCATTACGTTCTCTTGCAAAGAGAATAGTCATATGCAGTGTGTGTATCACAAGTTACAGTGCAATAGATTGCGATTAGAAGGTACATCTCCGATAGGACATGCTATGGAATCGCATTTATTCTTTGTTAGCCTTTTTGAATTTGAATGGCCCTCAGGGTCTTTGAATTGTGGCTTGATTAAATACCCAGATGTGATGCTTTACATTTACATTATTAGACAAATGCATCACAAATAATTGCATTGGCTAAAGAAGACAAATAAATTAAGGTCTCTTCAAAAAAAAAAAAAAACCTTTTCTTGTTGGAAAATGAATGCAAACCTACTATAAACTTCAAAGCTTGGACTGAAAAGCTTTTGTTGATATTGCCAGCACTGGGCAGTTCCCATGTTCAGGGCATACGCTTGAAACTTTGAAGTCAAACAACAAGTACATTTAGGAAGTACATTTTACATCATGTTTGTGTCAATAAGGAGTAATATACTGTACTTCTATCAGACATCAGATTGCTTGTATTATACACTTATTGTAAATCATCATGTAAATACATCATTATAAATTATCATATGATGGGACCTTCATTCCGTTAGATTTCAAATCCAAACAAAGGTCTTTCGATTTAATTTACGTGAATCAGATGAACACAGTGTCTTTGACTATGAGTGTCTTCTCTTTCTGGCTGAAATGATGATTTTGCTCGATAAAGATTGCAGAGTGTTTTGTTCCTTTGAAGTCTATTGATTGTTCTCAAGGACATACATGGGCGGATATGATTCTCCCTTTAAATCACATGTCTGTAGCTATGGATATGACCTTCAAGGGTTTCTATCAGAATGCTGTGGGCATCCAGATCGTTTTGATGGATTTAGCTCCTCTGCCACAGTGTAATGTGGGTTTATCACGTGGTGTGATGGCTGCCACGACTTACTGAATATTGTTGTACATTAATATTGTTAATGTCCATTTTCCATGACACTCTTATTAACATTATGTAAAATACACACATACATGACCTCGAATTATATAGGACCTCTATGTTATTCTGTTTTATGTCATAAGCAAAATGCTGCTACTAAATCTTTTTCATGGAGTTTTTTTTTTTTTTTTTTTTTTTTTACAACAACAATAGCAGAACACAGCGTTATAGTACAGAAGAAATGGCAAAAGGCTGTGTTGGCTCTGGTATTTAAATAATTACCTTTTTTGAAGTAATTAATACTTTTTTTTAAGAAGTTGTTCTTATTTTGTGTCTATGGTGTGCAGGCAACACTGAATTTCATTTTAACAATCTGTCATTATAGATTTGTGCCTACCATTATGATTATTGTGTAAAGAAAGTGTCAAATAAAGAAGCTTGCTTTGATTTCCTGAACATCTGTTTTACATTTGAATATTTAAACATCTTTAAAAGTCGAATTTCACCTAGTCACTACATCCTGAATATGGATTTTTAAAGTTTAAAAATTATTAATGTAGCAAAACTGTAGTAAAGTAGAACCTACACTTCAACCAATGAAGTGCAACCTCTGCGTTCTGCGTCATCAGTCATCTGACCGGAAGTGAAGTAATGCAAGTTCAGCCGAGATTTCCTTGTTTGTTATGGATGCGATGATTTGGTCTTTATGAGTTTACGTCCATAACAAAACTATATGATTTAACTGGTACAATCTTTTTTTAAGTAATATATTACTTCATAATCACTGTAAACATGACGACAATGAACGAAAATTCTCTACGGAAAGTCCTGGCGAAGGTAACTTATGTTAAACACTTGCGTACCAGAGAAGATGTTTACAAAGTGTTTTACGTGTTCTGGGTAATGTTTTTCTGTGTACACAGATTTATAAATACAGGGATCTGACCGCACGCGACTTAAACGTGACGTCTCACTATAAAGATCTTAAACCTGTGTTGGACCACTACGGTAAACTTCAAACACATTTACAAATGTTTAAATGCCATTTTTAAATGTTAAAGCACTTAACATTTACTTTTAATAAAGATAACATGAACATAAAAAGTTCGCAAGGTTTTAAATTTGACTGTATGAAGTAATTTATACTTTTGTTTTCATTTTTACTTATGTGTATACCAATTGAAATCAGCTCAATTTGTACTACGAATATATTTTCCTGGCCTGCACTCATTTAGCATTTTTTTATTTTAGTGTTCAATGATGGCTCTACCAAAGAGCTGCTGAGTCTCACAGGAACGGTGCCAGTAAACTACCGAGGTATAGAGACACTGCTTTCAAAGAAGTTTCTCCACTCTTCATCCAGCTGTATCCAGATGAATAAAGTCCTTATGTTGAACCCTTTTCCCTATTTAATATGTTCCTCTTCTATAGGAAATGTGTACAACATTCCCATCTGCCTGTGGCTTCTTGACTCGTATCCCTACAACCCTCCCATCTGTTTTGTCAAACCCACAAGTGCCATGATGATAAAACCCGGGAAACACGTTGATGCCAATGGAAAGATTTACCTCCCATACCTGCATGAATGGAAACCTGTAAGTGTTTTGTTTTTTTAATCTTTGTGTTTAATTCAGGAGGGCGTAAACTCATGCATCTTTCATTTGCTTTGGTCTTCTCTTCTTTAGCCCCAGTCTAATTTGTTGGGACTGATCCAGGTGATGATTGTAGTGTTTGGAGAGGAACCACCAGTCTTCTCACGGCCCAGCACTCAGGCAACTTTCCCGGCAGCAGGCCCACCTAATAGTAAGCATATATATACTTGCGTCTGATTGTTTTGGTTCAGCGCAATATATTGGATCTGATAGATAATGTATTTTAAGATTTAGGTTAGTATTTGACTTCGGGCATCAGCAATAATTTCATTTTTCTTTCCAGCTTCCTACATGCCAAGCACACCAGGCTTGCCTTATAGTCAAGGACACTCTGCTAATCCAGGGTAAGTGCTTTCAGTGTGCAAGTCACAAATCTTGACCGTATGGTCTTCCAGTTGACTATGTACACAAAAGTTTAAAGTGTTTTTTTTTGTGTGTGTGTGGAAAAATATAATACTTTTGAGCAAGGATGCATTAAATTGATCAAAAGTGACAATAAAGACATTTATAATGCAACAAAAGATATATTTTGAATGTTCTATTCATCAAAGAACTAAAAAAAGATGTATAGAAAACTGTTATTTTAAATACCGGTAGTAATAATATTAAAATATTACTGTTTTTACTATATTTTTGTTCCTATAAATGCAGCCTTGATGAGTATGAGAGAATTATTATTATTTTTTAAATCGTACTGACCCCAAACTGTAGTTTATTTATTAGACATCTACCACAGATCAGTGATCTTGTTACGTGAGACAGCAAAAACACAACATTTTTCTCATCTGATTTGGGCCTCTTTCATATGTGGTTCTAAATCCAATACATATCAGATATCTGGTCATCTGACCTATGTCTAAACACTTAAATCCGATCCTCCTCTTATTTCACAATATTTCATCATTGATATCCATTGTAACAGAATGTTTTGGTCACACTTTATATAAGGTGTCCTTAACTACTATGTACTTATCAAAAAATAAATAGTTTTGGTGATACGGGTAGGTTTAAGGGAGGGTTACTGTGTAAAGTGAGGGTCAACAGTGTAATTACTGCTGTCACTACATAGACGTATTTTTAAAAATAAGTACAATGTAAGAACATGTATGTATACAATAAGTGCATTGTATTAAATAATTAATTTATATGGTAATACATGGTAGTTAAAGACACCTAATTTAAAGTGGGACAATCAAGCATGCATTTTGCAGCAAAAATACATTTATTTTTATACCAGCATTAAAAGATTAGAGCATAATGCTGCCGGAAAGTGGAATTCGAGGGCCAGAGACAGAGTTGAGAACCCCTGCTGTAAATCAAAATACACACTTGCTGAAAGCACCATCAATTTCTCTAGAGACTCATGAAAATCTTGCGATACACTCAAGGCTGTTTTTTTTTTTTGGCACGTAGGAATTAATAATTGTATTAAATTAGTGAGCAGAATTGGCAAACTCCAGTATAATACATGGAATGAGTGAACACATCTCCAGTATTTCCAGGAGAGAATAGCAGGAAAAGAACGAACTTCAGACGAATACGAGTTCCTATAACGAATCATGAATAGAATCGTATTTTCCTTCTTTGGAGAATTATTTGGATTCACTGGATTAAAAACAGTTAACAGTGTAACTACAAATGTTAATTAAATGCTTTAATGCACCATCATGTATGAACATTATAAGTATATTGTATCAAATGTTTAAGTACATAGTAGTTAAGGTCTACCTGATATAAAGCGTGACCATATTTTATTTTCTGTCTGTCAGGGGATTTCAGGGCTACCCTTATCCTGCAGCAGCTTCTGGATACCCCTCTTCCGGGTCCTCTCTCTATACCCAGGTGTCGCCTATTACTACAGTGGGTGAGCAATAGTAGTGACATCTCAGAAACCAAGAATCAAAAGAAACTAATGCATTTCTAATCTTGTATCCGTCTCAAAAACAAGTACACTACCACTTGGGTTAGTAAGATTTAAAAAATAAAATAAATTAATACTTTTTTTTCCCAGCAAGGATAGATTAAATTGATCAAAAGTGACAGTAAAGTCATTTATAATATTATATAATATTTCTTCAAAGAAAACGGTCACAGCCGAAACGTTTGTTAACTTTTGTTAACTTTATCTCCTGTTTACAATAAAAGATTTTTAGAGTGCAGACCTTTTTTGCATTTTCAAGGGGAAAAAATGCATCATAGTTTACCACGGAAATATCAAGTGGTTTTCAACATTGATAATAATAAGAAATATTTCTTTAGCACCAAATCAGCTTATTAGAATAATTTCTGAAGGATCATGTGACACTGAAGACTGGAGTAATGAAGCTGAAAAATCAGCTTTGCAAATACAAGAACAGGGTGGCCGCGGGTCCTTAAAAAGTCTTAAATAAAGTTTTCCTAATAAAAGGCCTTAAAAAGTATTAAAATGTCTTAAATTCAGATTCGATGGGTCTTAAATATTTCTGGTCACATTACCGCTAACATTTCTCCAGTTTGACGGACCCAATGTCCGTCAAATAACCAGTGAAGCATCGAAGCGGGAAAATTCACGTTTATTTTTACGTTTCTGTCAATCTGAGGTGTTGTTGCTGCAACGCGTTGCTATGGGTTGCGTCACTTGCGTCAAGTTTGTTGTGTCTTGCTTCGGACGAGGGTCTAAAACTCTGGAGTAATGTATGGACGGCAGGCGTAACCGTAGCAAAAGTTATGTTTTAAAATGACAATGCACTAGTGTAAACATAGGTATTCCACAGTCTGCTCGGGAACTGATGTTCTCGAGCCAAATATAGTTATTTCAGTGAGTATATTGCTCGACGGCAGGAAGGAATGAACAAAACGTTTTTTTTTTTTTTTAATAATAAAAGGTAGTGCGTCGATTCAATGAAAAATATTACAGAATTCATTGAAGCCTGTTTGTAATGTATAATACACCGACCAATCGTTATCTGGCACAAGAAGTTAAAAATTTCATTAGACAATGTGAAGTGGAGCGGTAATTTTCCAGTCATTCATAAATCGTTTGAAAATAGATGGACAAACGAATTAACATTTATGAAGTGATCTGAATTAAACAATGGATGTTAATTGACTACAAAGCACTGCACAAAACCAGCACCAAAAGTCACATTACTGGTAAGTAGGTCTAGTATTAAAGTCACTTTTTATTTAGTCTATGTATATTGATGCGTTTACCATTTAATCAAACTATCATAGTTGGTTAAATGAAACACAGGCGCGACCTACAGGCCTATTGTGTGTAGTCTCTTATGTGATCAAGCCTGCATTTATTTGATCAAAAATACAGAAAAATATTATTACCATTTAAAATGTTTTTCTATTTTAAAAATATCATTTATTTCTGTGATACAAAGCTGGATTTTCAACAGCCATAACTCCAGTCTTCAGTGTCACATGATTTTTCAGAATGTCAGAAACAGTTTTTTTTTTAACCTGTGATACTTTTTTCAGGATTCATTGATGAATAAAAAGTTTAAAAGAACAGTATTTAATTAAAATAGAAAGTCTTTACTGTCACTTTTGATCAATTTAGCACATATCAAAAAATAGCCCATTATTTATTTGAATTTTTTTAAAGAAAAAAAATATTACTGACCCCAAACTTTTGAACGGTCGTGTATATTGGTACAAAATATTTCTATTTTAAATAAATTTCTTTTTTTAACTCAGAATCCTGAAAAAAGTATCAAAGGTTATAAGTATATTATAAATTGTGGAAATATTTCACAATATTACAGTTTTTTCTGTATTTTAGATAAAATAAATGCAGCCTTGATGAGCATAAAAGGCTTCTTTCAAAAACATTAGTGTCCAAACTTTTGGCCGGTACATATATTTTATATATATATATATACACACATATATATATACTGTGTATATATATATATATATATATATATGCCGCTTTTTACATTTGAGCCCCTGAGGAACTCTCTGCACGTCCCTGATAAACAGCGATTGATAATGTAATTCTGGTAGCGCTGTTGAGACTCGCTGCCTGTCTCTGTGAGAGATTTTATAGTGAGAAATCAAAACAAATGAGCATAACAGCACACATAAAAAAACTCACAGAAGATAAAACATACTACAGTAAAAACTCAATGTTTAGTTTTTTGTTTATTAAATATCATATAGTTAAGTAACAACATGACGGGAGCTATTTTGCTGAATCTTCTCACGATTACAAATGTTAGATTGATTCATATTGATTCATACATTGAAGCAGTTCATATTAAATTACTTCAATTACTTAGGTTAAACATTAAATATTACATATACGCATGTAATAGAATGTGTATTTTCATCACAGGTTTGGTCTTAAATTTTATTCAAAGTGGCATTTAAAAGGTCTTAAAAAGTCTTGAATTTAACTTGTTTATATCTGTAGACACCCTGAAGAACACATTTTAACATATATTCAAATAGAAAACAGTTATTTTAAACTGTAATAATATTTCTCAATATTATTGTTTTTACTGTATTTTTGATCAAATAAATGCAGCCTTGTTGAGCAACTTAAAGGGGTCATAAAATGCCATTTTTGTACAAGCAAAATATGATTCTTTAGGGTCTAAATTAAAAGTTTGTAATATACTTTAATTAAAAATTCTCATTAGTATTGTAAGAAAACACTTATTTTACCTGGTCAAAAACAGCTCTGTTTTCAGCACGCCGTTTCAGTGTATATGAGTTTAAATGATAATGAGCTTTGCTCACCCCGCCTCTCTGTTCTATGCGTACACCGTTTGAACACAATAACACAATAACCATAACGCGTTGTTCAGTATAAACGTGGGATTATGAATTATATTGAGAACGTCATACATAGAAAACATGCCGTAATGTACCCTGACTGAGTGTAAACCTTAGACGCATTCATTGTGAAGCGTGCAGCTAGCGATTTGCAAAGATTAATATAAATATTAATATAAAGTTTAATAAAACGTTACACTCACTTCAGTTCTTCTGGAGGTTCAGCAGGAACACGAATATCTGGTACCGATCCTTTATTCAGGAGCAGCTTCTTAGCAAAACCAGCTTTATACCTCCTCGTTTATAAAGCAGTCTGGTGTGTGAAATGATTTGCGCAAACATGAAAGCATTGACGTTGCTCGTGGGGAATATTCCCTTCGAAAACAAACTCAGCCACTGCGTCTTCAGCGGTTCGGATTTAGGAACATTAAAATGACTGCTGTGTTCGTTATTACACCCAAGAACAGAACACCACAATCGCTTAGACGCCATTCTGCTCATAGACAGTGCTCCAGCATATCAACAATGACCGCGCCGGTCCGCGCAGACTATGATTGACAGCTCGCGCACGAGCGAGGGCGGGTCTGTGTTGAAACGATGCTGTCAATCAACAATCGTGGGAGGGGCTTCCGAGCGTGTGACGTCACAAAATCGAACGGCTCAATTTGAGGCAGGGGAAAACATATAAGGAGGTTAAAACAAAAACACTGGATGGATTTTTATCATTTTATGATGGTTGTGTACAGGCACTGCCAACACACATTTCAGTACAATCAACTTGTAAAAGTGCATGTACCATTATATGACCCCTTTAAGACACTACTTTTAAGAACATTATTAAATCTTACCAACCAAAAACTTTTCAACAAAAGTTAATAAGTGAACAAACTTATTCCAAAAAACTCTACTTTCAAACCCCTGCAAATATTTTTGCTGCGTTTCAGGGCCCACTCGTGATGGTACCATCGGAGAGGACACAATCCGTGCATCTTTGGTGTCTGCGGTCAGTGACAAATTGCGCTGGCGGATGAAAGAAGAGATGGATCGAGCACAGGCAGAGCTGGATGCCCTGAAAAGGACAGAGGAGGACCTGAAGAGAGGCCACCAGAAGCTGGAGGAGATGGTGACCAAACTAGACCTGGAGATGGTACAAGAGAAACATTCGTAATTGTACAGCTACAGTTGAAATGATCAAATCAGTCTGATTTGTTGTTGATGATACTCAGATAATAGTGACTGAAGCTTATAACACTACTAATTTATACAATCTAATAAGTCACTTTTTTAACAAGGTATCTGCCTGAAAGCATTGTACTTTTAAATATTTTATAAAATGTATAAATAAAACACGTTCTTTCCATTGAATCACAGGCTGATGTGGACAAAAACATTGATAGCCTCAAGCAGAAAGATGAGGAGCTGACTGTTGCCCTGGAGAGAATGCAGAACCAATCTGAGGACAATGACCTCGATGATGTGATTGTGCCGACCGCTCCTCTTTATAAGCAGATTCTGAACCTCTACGCTGAAGAAAACGCCATAGAAGACACTATCTTCTACTTGGGTGAAGCGTTACGCAGAGATGTCATTGACTTGGATGTCTTCCTCAAGGTTAGTCAACAGCCCTTTTTGTCATTGTCTTGTTGTCTAAGCTAAAACACAATATTTGAAATATATTAATGTGAATATCCTGTTGTGTGCAGCATGTGCGCCTTCTCTCCAGAAAACAGTTCCAGTTGCGGGCCTTGATGCAGAAGGCCCGGAAAGTAGCAGGCCTCAGTGACCTGTACTGACCTGCCCAAATAAATCATTCTCCCTCTCAGTTATACCACGTGGTGAACTAAATCACAGGCTTTGTGATGTGAAAGGTGATTGTAATTTACCCAGGACCTAAAGCCCAAATCTCTGTGAAACCGAGAGATTGAAGTTTACATTCATAGCATCTGTAGACAACAAGTGCAATGAATATATCTTTGTTAAAAAATATATATATATAAAAAATAGTGACTTTTAAGGTTCTTAACTTTGTCGAGAGGGAAACAAAGACAGGGAAATCAAACAGTTGCAAGAGACAATTTTTGCTCAGCTTAAGAGTTTAGCATAGCCTTACAAAAACAGCAATCGTTGCACTTTTTGTAACTCGTGCCTCATATTCTTCTAAAGTGTCTTTTCAGATACAGGGTAAAGCTAAAGAAGTATGGGAATGACATTCAATATGCTCAACCTGAATGTTAGTCTTATTTTTATATTGTTTAATCTCAAAATAGTACCTGTAACTGAATAATTCTCTTAAAATCAGCACTTTGTTTTATTTTTAGATAAGTTAGTAAACCAATCTACTTTAACATCTCAGAATCTAATTGTATCATTGTTAATGCTTAATGCAATAAAGCATTTTTGCAGTTCTACTTGTGATAACAGTTGTTATGCAGCCAGTTTACATGAATGTACTTGGTTGAACTGCAAGCATATTTATGCAGACATCTTCAGATTAAACTTGTATATCTATTTGAGATATGATGTATAAAACCTCAAAGTATGAAGGGAACGTTTTTTTGTTTTTGCAAAGAATGTAACGGCATTATAATCATGAATGAAGTGTTTTGCTTACAATCATGGGAAACAAGGGAATGAAAGACCAAATTATTGTGCAGTGTGTCTTTGAGGTATGAGGGTATTTAAAATGTTTAATGAATATCTGTAATAAAAAAATAAAAAAACTATTAGCTAAATCTGGGTCTGGTTATCTAAATATCTTACACTGTCACAGTAGATGTCTGACATTTTAAAAATGTAAAATCCATAGTTATTCGGTATAATTTCTGACAGTTTCAATTTCATTTATTTTTCTGTTAACTGCACAAACCTCATATGATACCTTGATCTGTTGTACACAATGTTACTCGTTTTGCTTTGAACAACTGACCAGGGCTGCCAAGTCTGCGGTTTTCCCACAGAACTGGGCTTAGGGTGACCAGACGTCCCGAAAAATTCTTAATATACTTAATATATATTATATTATATATGTATATTAATATACACATATACTATTATAAACATAAAAACATCTAAAAAAAATTAAATTGAGATTGTCTATAAATTGTTAATTTTTAAATAGTTCTAAAATATAGGACTACCACCCCCACCAATGGAATTTTCAAGAACTCCCCATGTAAAAACTGCATTGTACACACTTGTTTTAAACCCACGTCTATCGTTAACAACTAGACTTCATATCTTTCACTACAGAGTGTTTCCTGTTACCACTTGACTGATGAATGTTCATCTTTATAGGTTCCTTTTAGCTGTGATGTGTGACCTCGCATATTGTGTCTTGTGCCGCCTTCTACTCTCTAACACTCGCATACATACACTCTGCACCTCAGACTGTCTCTGTTCGACCATCAAAATTTCATTTCACAGATGATGGACTTCAGCCTCTAATCCAGCAGCTGTGAAAGGAGGGTAGGACCGGTCAACTGTTTCAACTCTAATCAGCTTTTATTGCACACGGGAGAAAGAAACAGCCCGTCGCCGCTGGAACCTGTGCTGTTCGTGATTCGGGTTTGGGTTGAGGGGGACAGGAGATGTGTGGCTGCTGGATGTGATGTTAAATCTAATTCACTCATTGCTGCTAGGCAGTGATGTGTCAGCAGGTGGAGATGTTAAAGCTAATAGGCCTGTCATAGTTGCTAACCTCAATCACTAACCTTCATAACAGCCTATGCTCCTTTTAACCCAAGCCTCTCTGTCTTTTCTTTCCACAATCTTGGTTGAAATGCTGATTTTTTTTTTTTGCCTGCAGCGGTGCAGCTGCACTGACTGATAACCTTCTCGTGTCCTTTTTGAACCGAACAGATTACAACCCTTCTCAGTGTCTTTTATCTCAAAGGTGACAAAAGTCAAGTTTGATTTACTGAAACATGTATTTGATGTAGTATCTCAGATCAGGCCTGTAAACACACAAAAAAAGCACACAGAACCCACAAATATTTTTATGGGCCTTAATGTGTCACCTTGGCTTTGTCGATTTTTACTGGCCCATATGTGTGCGGTGGAGGAAACTGCCGAAGGTGTTTATTGGCTGTCAGGTCATTGCCATCGCTCTCAGCTGGAGTGATGGTCGTAGCCTGCAGTGACAAGACAAAGCTGAAACATTGATTGTCTGTTCAGTGGAAGCCCCATCGTAAGGGAATGTTATGTGTTTTCATCTTTCTGACAGCCTGTTGGCCTTAGTTTGAGAAAGTTCTCCAGGCAAAACCCAGGGCTCAAGGGTTTGACTGAATTTAAACCCATGGCACAAGGGTTTGACTGAAAAATAGTATTCATTGTGAAGGCCTCAGGATTTAAGATACACCCTCCAAACACTAAAAGACTGTTGGATTGATGGAAAAACAGTGTAATTTACCCATACTTGTGGTTGAAAGTCACCATAATATCAACATTGACTTCTCATTTTTTATGGAATGTTGCAGTTTTTATTATAAATGGTTTATCCGTGCACATAGGCTAATTATTTTTAATTCATGTGCCCTCGTAAGATTTGACAGGGCCCCGACATGTAAATACTGGTGCATGCAATATTGATTTGTGTTTAATCGATACATCCATTCTCCCAACTGCTTAGGGTCGCTGGGATGCTGGAGCCTTTCCCAGTGTTTTGGGCTGCAGGCAGGGATTCACCCTGCCCAGTCCATCACAAATTATTTCCTAAATTTACCTGTATATTATCTTGAAGCTTCCACTTGCATATGAAAATTAGTCCATTTCAATGTACAAAACAATTGGCTTACTAACACGATGACCACTACAGCATTTAGCATTAGTTTATATGAAATAAGATCGAGCGAATCCGAGGTGTGATACAAGAGACATGAAAGTATAGTGCTGGTGTTGTGTAGAATTCCGACCCCCTGACAATGGGTATTTCTCAATCGGAAGGCTGCGTCCTTCAAATGATGCATATCTTGGCCGCCACGTCATCAAGCTTTATCAAAAGATGTCTCAATTTGAAGGATCCTTCGATTTGGGTCCTTCATTTGGCTTATTTTGAATGATGCATCACGTATATCCTTCACGTCCTCCAATCAACCACAATCCTTTGCACACATTACAATTTACGTCCAATTTCGTAATGTAATGTAAGACCAAAAAAAAATTTTTTGGAGATGAAGACACGTTATTGATCACAAATGCTAAATGTGGAAACATTTATTACGCAGCCATGTGCAATTCCTAGTCCTAGACCGCCTCATTCTAGCGTGTAATGCTGAGGAGGACTCTATAGCCTACAAGCCTCCGAAGGACTGGACTAGAAAGGACGCAGTTTCAGTCCAATTTTTTATGCCCTTCCCTTGTTAACTTTCCTCCGTCTCATTCACTCGGATGTACGTCATTGCGTGAAACCCTTGCGATGTGTTTAAATGGGATGCCCTATGCCCTTGATCAATTGGAATCCGCTATGGAGACCATTTATTATTGAAAGTTTTTTGCTTTATGAATTTGTTTTACGCACCATTCTATAAGCCTGTATGTATGCTTGGGCTGTTGGAGAAAATATAAAAAATTGCACTAATGAAAATGCAAATGCTGCATCCCAATACGCCTACTTATACTATGCCCTAAAAGTATGTACTGTTTTTGTTAAGAAAAAGTACATACTTTTGAGTGTGTAGCAGAATAGTAGGCACACTTTGGGACATACAACTTTGTCATAGCTGCGTCTTTAACGGACAGCTCTGTCGCTAAGTTATGTGCATCCTGTCACCGTTTAAACTGCCCTGTCAATCGTCTTGTCAGTTAAAATCCTCCACATTCAATTTAATTTAATTTCCTTCCGTTTTGGAGAGAAATGCAGTTGACGCGGAGAACTCTTCTCGTGTGTTTGCAATTTGATTAATGATGCATTAAAAGTGACTGACCAGACGTATCTTTACAAAAGTTCACAATGCTGTTGCAGATGAAATATAATGATAACATTGAATAAATATATATTTGTCAGGTTAGATACTGATTATTAATCACTCAAACCCCTTTATCTAAACCTCTCTACTTAACCATCGGACTCGCACACCCGCCATGTTTGTAGTTTTATTGAACACTTTTTATTTTGTAGTTCTCTTCTCATCGAATCCTTATCCAATGCGCAATGGGTTGTGGCCAATATTAGCCATTTCTAACCGGAAAAAGTTGGAATACTCATTTCAACATACTATGGTTTGGTACACACTAATTCTAATTTCAAATACTATTTAGGACGGATAGTATGCGAATTGGGATGCAGCAATAGAGTAGACTTGCTCCCTCTGTCAAAATCGAGGGGTCGAAGCCTGTCCAAATAAACTTCCCTGGCCCACTTGACGAAGTTCAACTTCGGTTGAACACAGTTCATTGGCGGCATGGATTCCCCGAGGGGGAGTTAGGAAAGATTGTTACTTCGATGCACCTCTTGATGGAAATAACATCACAATATTTATTTCCATCAAGAGGTGCATCAATTTTTGGTCAAGATCTTGTATTGACAATGCAAGAGTCGAGCACTTTGTAAAGTCTACTCCAGCACATCCCAACGACTTTCAATGAATTTAAGGTCTGGACTCAAGGATGCTAATTCATGTGTGAAATTGATTCTTCATGTTCCCTCCCAACCATTCTTTCACAATTTGAACCGGGTAGTGTATAATCCACCGCATTCAAGTGGATTATATGTGGACTAGCGCAGGGAACAGTGAGGGGTATAGGGGGTGATTTCAGATACAGTCCTTACCATACTGTGGACTGAATGGTCAGGAATAAGGCATATCATCTTGAATACTATAAAGAGCCGTGCAATAAAGAATTGTAAAAACAAAAGACAATAAGCATAAAACCGAAGCCCACACTTTAGGAACAAGCAAGTATTAAAGGGTATAGGACATGTGCTCTGCATTAAGTCTGGGGTTAA